AAAAAAAAAAAAATTACTAAACTAAGGCATTTTTGTAAGTAAGGTACTCAGCAAAGGAAAGACACATTTGGGTGACTTCTGCAGAGACGTGGAAAGGGAACAGTGTCCTTAGGGGCAGAAAAGGAGAGAAAAATAGGTATGGTTTTTCAACTGAGGACACTGTCAGCCCTCGACCGCCAGGCCCCCACCTGTGTGCGCCTTTGTTCCTGAGTGTTTCGTCCATACTCACGAGGCCAACACAGACGGTGTGTGCACAGGCACACTGCTGGCATTGGATCTCGCTGATTTTTTTAAATTCAAGTCTGTCACATATGATGAAGATGATTTGCTTTTGATATAAGTGGATGGGACTGTGTGCTACCCCTAGGTCTCGGTCCTGCCCACAAGCCACGTGGCAGCATTTCACATGTCCTGGCTGGACAGAAAGTTCTCCCCTAGAGATTGGCATGTTGTGGGAACACCTACCAGGTTGCTTCACCTGGACAGGTGTGCCCAGGGAGTCACCATTCCTGTTCTCTGGGGGTGGAGGGCCGGGGGCAGCACTGTGCTTGCCCCATCCCCCCAAGAAAGACCACAGGTCTCACCTGTTGCTCCCTCAGCCTTCCAGGTCCTTACATTGCAGGTAGTTCTAGCACCCAGTGCATGACAGAACAAGGCTAGGCGTCACCCAGCAGGACAATGTTGGGCTCCTGTGGGCATGGGGTCATGTCTGAACCAGGATGCAGGGTGCCTGAGTCTCCACTATCCAGGGAGCTGGGCTTCCCTCACCAGCTGAGCCAGCCCTGTCAGTACTCAGAGCACACCAGGGACTGACAGCCAGGCTGGGATGGTGAGTTGTAGGGGCACATTGGAGGTCCCTGGCCCCTCAGTAAGGAGTGGGCTCCTGGGGAAGAGGCCAGACTCTAGAAACACAAGCAAAGTCTGGGGTTGATTCCCTGCCCCCGCCCTCTCATTGCCCTCACAGGCTCCACCCTCTACCCGGCTGGGCTTCTGACCCAGGGTCCTCCTTTGAGACAAGAGACAGCATCAAATAAATCACTGAAGTTGGTGCCTATGCCCAGCTTAGAACTCAGGGTGCAGATACAAGCAAACCAAAGAGACACTCTGCCCTTTAGGGGCCTGTGTTCCAGAAACCAAGGAGTTTCGCATTTCAGAATCCTGCCCTTTGGTTCCCTCTTTTTTATTATTTTATTATTTTTTTATTTGTTTTTTATTAGATCATAATTGTGTACATTAATTCTCTCATAGGATACAGTGTGTTACTTCTATATGCAGTTTGGAAAACTCTCCCCCTAGTGGCTAACATAGCCATCATGTCTTTCTCATAATTGTTATGTTAAGACATTTATATTCAACCTTTAGACAAATTCACCTGTACCCAAATAGGATAAATTATAAGCGTGATCCCCACAATATCATTCTCTTTACCCCTCCTCCCCCCTCCCCTCCCCCCTCCCTTTTCCCGGTAGTCTAGGGCTCCATTTGGATTGTAGCTTTCCTAAGATAGCTAACAATTAGTTTCATAATAGTGTTGAGTACATTGGATACTTTTTCTTCCATTCTTGAGACACTTTGCTAAGGAGGACATTTTTCAGCTCCATCCACGTAAACATGAAGGAGGCAAGGTCTCCATCTTTCTTTGTGGCTGTATAGTATTCCATGGTGTACATATACCACAATTTATTGATCCATTCATGGGTCGATGGGCACTTGGGCTTCTTCCATGATATAGTGATTGTGAATTGGGCTGCAATGAACATTCTGGTACAGATATCTGTATTATAGCGTGATTTATGGTCTTCTTGGTATATACCTAACAGAGGAATTACAGGATCAAATGGTAGATCTATATTTAGATCTCTGAGTGTTCTCCACATGGTTTTCCAAAAGGGACGTTGCTGTTTGGAGACTGTGTGTCTGCAGTGCTGGGTGTGCAGTGTGTCTTTATTGGTGGGACACAATGGCCTGTGGCCAGCTCAGTGCTCTTTGAGGCTCCACAGCCCTACGGCTGCCTTCCCAGCTGCTCCCGCCGCTCGAGGCTGCAGCTCCTCTTCTCACTTCATTTTGCTGGGTTCTGCGTGGCTGCTGAGTGAGTCTCCCTGTGTTATCGATAGTGGGGACACACCAGCCCTCCCACCTCTCTCCCCAGCATTTACATGGCACTTGCCCTTTTTCCTTTCAAGCTGTCTGTGCCTTGTATTTCAGTGCAGCGTGAGAGCAGCCGTGGATGACACATAGACCCAGCTAGGCCCGCACCAGAATGGACTTGGCCCTCGGGCAGTGGCTGCTGACTCCTGACCCTGAGGCTCTTGCTCCAGCTGGGATGTGTGGGGCCTATGCCTTAGGTCTGGGCTGACCTCAAGCATGGCCTCCAGGCTGTGAGTGCTGGTCTGGCTCTCTGGTCATGCTCCTATTGGGCAGCCCCCCAGGAGCTACAGCAAAACCCCATCCCCCGACAGGCACTGATCACACAGGAGGCTACAGGACCCACCACTACCCAGCAGATCCCTGCAGTGGGGGGCCCTGTGCTGCCACCACCCTCACCTCTTAGGGCTCCCTGCTGTAGACCCCAGAACCCCATGCCCTTCATGTTTTCCTAACTTGCAGTGAACGTAATAAACGGAGTCTCAGTACATGAAGGAACATGGGGCAAGGAGACTGTGAATGCCAGCCAGGGAGAGCGTACTCACACCCCGGTGAGAGGCCCCTGGCTGGAGTGTGCCACTGAGGGCAGCACAGAGGTGAGGGAGTTGCCAGGCAGCCCTGCCGGGCAGCTGTGCAGATGCCCTGGGCAGGGTGGTTAATGAGGGTGTAGGGCCACCTGGCTGCAGTGGGGGTCTGGGGTCAGAGAGTGCCCGTGGGAGGGTTCCAGGGGTTAAAAGGGAGCATTCAGTGGGTTCTGACAGGAGTGACATCTGGCTTCTGTTGTAAAAGTGGGTGTTCTCCCCTCGGTGGTGAGCTGGGGGTAGGGACCCCCACCCTTAGCTCCCCATCTTTGAGGGCCTGGAGCCCTGTGTGGCTCTATTAACTAGAGGCAGCCCCCATGTCCCTCACCAGTGCCCACATGTGGACAGCAGACATGAGACAGGGGCACCCATAGCTCAGGCCTGGGGGTCCCTCCTAAAGTGCTTAGGGAGAAGAGGAAGGTGGGAGGGCAGCCAGGCCCAGAAGCTGGGACAGACAGGGGAGAACCATTGCTGGTCACTGGCTACTTCCTGCCGTAGAGGGAGGGTGCAGAGCCCCCCAGGGGGACCTGGGGTTGCAGGATCCCCGATATGTTCAGACAGCTGCAATGGGAGTGGGAGGGTGTGGGCCTGGGTGGCCATGGGACACCCCCAGAAGAGTGGGGAAGAGCCCTTTGGGATCTGAACTCAGAAGGCACCGGCAGATCTGGGCCAGGGGAACCACCCACCAAGTGGGGCTGGGACAGCAGAGGGCTGTGACCGTGCCTCCCACCTCCCCTCCTGCACTTGCTACCCGTAGCCATCACCCATGACCCTGGCCCACTCCAGTTGGCGCTAACACTGTACAGACGCACGCATGGGGCTGTGTTATTCATTTAATGCTGTTTTCTTCCATTTTTCTGGCACAAGCTGTGTCCACACCAATGGCTTCCTCCTATCAGCTCCAGCAATATCCCTTGGGCACACATGGCCTCATGGCAATGAGGGGTCTCTCAGCTGAGCTAGGGCTGATCTCAGTGCTATTTCTTCTTTGGAATTTTCTCCTTTTTGATCAGTTCAGAAAATTCTAGAGCAAGAGAATGATTTAGTAATTTTGTGCCCCCCAAGCCTTGCGGGCCCTTAGCTCCCAGGGGAAGCAGGGTGTACCCTTTAGGAGGGGGCCTCACAGTTCCAGGATCCCACCCTGAGGCCCTGATTGAGGAGCAGGAAGCCCAGGACCTGTACTGACCAAGGACTACGTGGCTGCTGTTTGCCATGTCCAGCCCTGTGGCAGTCACAAGTTGACCCCAGCTGGGGGCTTGCAATGGCTGAGTCTCCACAGAGACCCTCAGAGATTCCCAGCAAACCCTCCTGAGCAGGTGTTCTTGCTATTATCTCCTGACTTTCTCACTGAGGAAAATGAGGCACAGAGGGCCAGGGGCCTGCCTGAGTCCTGAGCACCCCCCTGAGCAAGGCTGCCCCTCGGTTAAGCCTTTGGCCAACTGAGGGTGGGGGCTCTGGTGTTTACAGGCTTAGGTGGGTGAAGAGAGGGCTGGCACTGGCTCCTGGTGGGTGACTTGCTTGGCACTGTGCCCAGACTGTGCCTGTGTGCCCGTGATGGGGCTTGTGGGCTGGGCCCCGCTGTCCCTGGGGTGCCATCCATGCTGCCCCCACCTTCATAGTCAATTCTCCCGTCCCCATCCATGTCAGCAGCTTGGATCATGGCCTCAGCCTCCTCGTCGGTCAGCGGGGCAGCCGGCACGCTGCTGGGGATGGTGGATAGGATGTACCTGTGGCCAGGGGCTCAGGTCAGGGTGAGGGTCCTCTGGTGGGTGCCCAATAGTTTACAAGGTGATCTCTCCCCACAGCACAGGTGGGGAGACTGAAGCCCCAGAGTGGGTGCCTCAGGCCTCATAGCTGGGCCTCTGGGATTGGATCCAGTGCAGTCCCTGTGGACCAGACCCAGGGTCCAGCTTGGCCCCCATCCTCACGGCCAGATCTTCCAGGTGGGTGTGGTGGCTGTGTGTGGGCAGGGGTGCAGGACACCACCCCCCCAGCCTTTGGCCATTACTTGATCTCATTCCACTCTATGAAGCCGCTCCTGTCCTTGTCCAGGGTCTGGAAGGCCTTGTGGATGGCGCTGTCCAGCTGCCCAGAGGCCTGGAACTTCCGCATGTACTCAAAGAACTTGAGATAGTTGAAAGACCCTGGGAGCAACCGGGCTCAGGTCACCACAGGACTGACCACGCATAGGTCTGGGCCGCCTGGTGGGGGACCCCACCCTAGTTTGGGGGCAGCCTCTCCCCTACTTCCCAGCCTACTGCCAGCCGCAGTGTCTTGGGCCCATCAGCACCAGGGAAGGGGTGAGGTCCCCAGACAAGTTCTTGTGTCTAGGGCTGGGCTGGGGGCAGGGGCACTGTGCCAAGACGGGGCTGTACCGTGGTGTCTCATGTCCGTGGGCAGCAGCTCTATATCCTTGTCTGACAGGGATGCGCCCATGGCCAAAGCCATCTTCTTCATCTGGGAGGAGAAGTCCTCATCCATCCTGGCCCTGGGGTGGACAGGAAGCCAACCTGGAAGCTGCACGGCTGGGAGGGCCCTGCGTGGTGCTGGGGCTCTCTATGAGGTGCAGGCATCAGCGTCACGCCAAGCCACTGAGGCAGGCGGGATTCCAACCCGACAAGTGGGGGTCTGGGCACAGGCTGAGGGACCAGCAGGCAGGGCCAGGCCATCCTGTGCCCCTTGCGGCCGGCCTTGTGACCTGCTGGGCTCTCGGGTTGCTGTCCCCAGGGTGGGTTGGGTTCTGGGGCTTGCGGCACCGCATCTATTTCAGAGCACCAGGGCTGTGGGGCCAGCAGGCGTCCTGGGCTCCTTGGCCCTCTCAAAAGTTCACAGAGTAGGAGCCTTCTGGAACATGTTTTTGCCATCAGGAGGGGCAGCCTGGCGGCCCATGGTCCAAGCAGGTGTGGGCAGTGGCCAGAGGCACAAAGAACCCACTGGTCAAGGGTCCCAGCCTGGCCCTGGTGCCCCAGGCCAGGTCCTGCTTCTTGACCCGGGCACCCCCAGTGCTGTGTCATCAATGTGGGAAAACCCTGCCCTTTCAGAGTTGTGGGTATTGCCAGAAGGGAAGAGAGGTGTGGGAAAGGGGCTTTGCATCCTGTGGTGGGTATGGAGCTGGGCCCCCACGGCTCCCCTGGTAGCTGACCCCTAGCCAGAGAGTGTTGTCAGTTGGGGTGTGGGACAGGACCACAGGACAGGCCCCCAGCTTGCATCTTGAGCTGGACCCTGATTACTTCCCCTACTCAGGCATCTTCCATCCCCACTGGGGGCCAAGGTTGCCCTTTATGGAAGAGGCACTGGGCCAAGTTCCAGGCCAGGCTTGGCCAGGGCAGGCATCAACGTCTCATCCTGTCTGCAGTGTGGGGGGCACCCATGGGTTCTTTCACTACCTGCCTCTTGCCTTGGTGCTCCCAGGGTGCCACCACGAGGGCAGGGGAGCCTACTATCAGAGCTGGACACATTATTTATAATGCCCAAGGTCCCCAAGTGTGGTCCAGCACCAGGGGTTGCAAAGCTCTACTTGGGCCTCAGCCTTGGGGCCCTGCCCAGACTTATAGGGGCCTCTCCCAGTGTCTGTAAATGCCCTACCCCCTCCTGGACCCCCAAACGCTCTCACACACACAACCAAAACTTGAGGGCTGGCTAAGACACCCCCCCCCCCACGCCTGGCACTACTGTGTCCTGTATGCTCCCAGCGTCTCTGGGTCATAGGGCCCCAGAGCTGTATCTGCCCACAGCACAGCATCTGCTTACAAACCACTGAATTCAGGAGCTGAGAAGACGAAAAAGGCCTCGAGGGTGGAAAGGGGCCATGGCGATGGAGGGGCATTGGGGCTGGGCACGGGGCTATCTAGTGGTCTGGAGCTCGGATTCTGCCCTGCTAGCCCCCCATCCATGTCCCTGCTCGGGGCCTGGAGGCCTAGGGGCAGTGAGTAGACTCAGCTTCTCCAGAGAGTCCTGGCTCCAGCCACCTCTCACAGCCATGCCCACAGTGGCTGGCACCAGCACACATGTACACAGAGGGCCAGGCTAGATGGCTGCCCACAGGGAGGGCTGCCCCTTCCCTTTCTTCCTCCTCCTGCCTCTCCAGGGACTCTCTTAGGCCCCAAGCTTCCACCGCCCAGCTCCACAGCCCTCCCAGAGCCACCCACCCAGGCTGGGCTTACCTCTGCCTGGCGTCTCTCACAGACTCTGGGAAGCGGAGGGGGCTCTGGCCTTTATACCTGTGGCCACTCAGCCTATTTATGTCCTGGGGCTACAGCTGTCCCCTGCCCCTCCTGGGCACTCCAGCCTGGCACTGGCCACTCCCAGGGGCTTGCTGGCACTTGGCATAACAACCCTGGCTGGGCGGACTGGACATCAGCAGCTCCTGGCTCCCCATTCCCAGGGTGGGGCTGGGAGGAGCACACGGCACCTGTGGGTGAGTGGGGGTTGCTGAGCAGCCAGAGCTGGGGGCTGAGGTCAGAGGATTTGAGTGACCTACCCAAGCCTGGAGCCTCTGGTCACAGCAACTGCGTCTGTGCTGAGTGGGGGCTGTGTAGGGAGACTGAAGCTGGGTCTTCACCCCAGGTAGCTCTGATGCGGAGCATGGCAGGTGAGTGGGGCCTGGGGGCCCAGCTGAGGTGGCTGTGCCCAGGTGAAGGGTCTGGATTGGAGCTCGGATTCTGCCCTGCCACCCCCCAAGGGCTCAGGAAAGCCCATGGCCTAAGGGCAGCTGGGGCTGGGGAGATTCCAGGCATGCAGCGCAGAGCTCTAAGCCCCCTCCCAGATCATGGCCATCTTCAGGGGGAAAGGGGAGGGCTGGGGTGGTCCCTGGCTGGCTCTGAACACCAACTAGACTGTTACCTTCTGCCTAGAGTTCCCACACAGTGCCACACAGTGCCAAGGGCTGAGGCCGGCCCCTGTATGCTGGAGGCACATGGCTTCCTCTTGGAAGCCATGGGGGCTGGTCATGGTGGTGGGGTGAGGGTGTGGTCCTGCTAATAACAGTGACAGTCATGATATATGACAGGTGACAGTGAATGTCATAGGCAGTGGCATCTGCCATTGAGTGGGCTCTGCCCATGTCAGGCCAGGCCCAAGATGGTCTCAAGTAGTCCCTATGGCAACCCCTGGGAAGCTCCCTCATCCTCCTTATTCTAGATAGCCCAGAGGTGAGCAGATCAGGCCCAGCTCTGTCTGCCCTGAGGGCAGCTGCAGGGCCCATCTTGGCCAGGCATAGGTGGGACAGAGGGAGATGCCCAGGTCCAGACAGTGAGGGGACGCCAGGTGGTCCCACCAGGCCACCTTCTCAAAGGGCTGAACCATCCCTGGCCCCCATAGCAACTGGGGCCTGGTCAACTTCTTCACATTTTTGGGCTTTAGATGAATGCCACTGTTTTAATTAGGATGACTGAATATTGCCTGTAATGGCTTTCTGGATGAGAGGTGGAGATAGTATTTATTGTAGAATATTTAGAATATGCAAAGAAGCACAGGACAAAGTCACCTCCGAAAGAACATTTGATGATGGGCACACCTGGGCTTTGTGGGTGTGGGGTTTTTTTTGTTGATGTTGTTTGTTGTTTTTGTTTTTGAGACAGAGTCTCACTCTGTTGCCTTGGGTAGAGTGCTGTGTCGTTGCAGCTCACAGCAGCCTCAAACTCCTGGGCTCAAGCGATCCTCCTGCCTCGGCCTCCTGAATAGCTGGGATCACAGGCCCACCACAGCACCTGGCTAATTTTTCTAATTTTAGTAGAGATGGGGTCTCGCTCTTGCTAGGCTGGTCTCAAACTCCTGAGCTTATACAATCCTCACCCTGCCTCCCAGAGGCTGGGATCCCCGGTGGGACCCACAGTGCCCAGCCTGTCGTGGGATCGCAGGTGAGAACCACCGTGCCCAGTCTGTGCTGGGTGTTCCTTCCTGCATGTTCTTAGTGCTTTTCTTTTTTGCTCCATGTCTGCTGTGGTAAAGTGCACAGAACATAAAATTTAATGCCGTCACCATTTCTAAGTGCACAGCTCAGTGGCGCTAAGTAGTCAGGTAGTGCCACGGTCACCACCACCCAGCTCCAGAACTTTCTCATCATCCCCTGTTCCCCCCAACACTGCCTCATGACACCCCACCCCCAGCCCTGACAACCACCATTCTACTCTCCTACTACACGTAAGTGGAATCACACAGGGTCTGCCGTCTCGTGTCTGGCATCTTTCCCTCCACATACGTGCATGTGGTGTCGTCAGGGTTCGTCCTTGACGTGTCAGAATGTCTTTTTTTCTTTTTAGAGACAGTATCTCTCAGTGATCCTCCTGCCCCAGTCTCCCAAGTGGCTGGAACCACAGGTGCAAGCCACCATGCGTGGCTAACTTTCCTATTGTTTTTTAAGTTAGGGTCTCTGTTTCTTTAGACTGGTCTTGTTGAACTCCTGACTTCAAGCAATCATCCTGCTTCCACCTCCCAATGTGGTGGGATCACAGGTGGGAGCCACCACGCCTAGCCAGAGTGTCCTCCCTTTCTAAGGCCACATTTTGTGTATCCATTCATCTGTCGATGGACACGGAGCTTTTCCTTGCCTTTTGGCGGTTGTGAGTAATGCTGCTATGGACACAGGTGTACAGACTTCTCCTCGAAACCCTGCTCTCCATTCTCTCAGTGTACACTCAGAAGGGAATCTCTGGATCACGTGGTAATTCTAACTGACTTTTTGAGGAGCTGCACACTGTTTTCCTAACTGGCTGCTCTGTTTTACATTCCCAGCATGTAGTGCTCAGGGCTCCAGCTTCCCCACAGCCTCCCCTCACCAGTTTCAAACTGCAGGCCCCTCTTTACGAGTGATGCTGAGCTTCTCAGCACATGGCCACATGTGTGCCTTCTCTGGAGAATGCCTGCTCAGCCTTTTGCCTCATTTGGAACTGGATTATTTGTTCATTTGTGAGAGTGAAGAGCTCTTTATATCTTCTCTCTATATTCTGGCTTTTAGTCCCTCATCAGATACAATGAATTGCAAATATTTTCTCCCATTCTTTCTATCACCTTTTCACTCTATTGTTGTTCTCTATTGATGCAGGTTTTAAATTTCCACATCTACATTTTCTTTTGTTGCCCACACCTTTGGTGTCATGTCCAAGAAATCACTGACAAATCCAATGTCATGAGGCCTTTGTCCTCTATTTTCTAATTAGAGTTTTATAGTTCAAGGTCTTATGTGTAGGTCTTTCATCTTTTTTTTCCCCCCGGATACAGAGTCTCACTTTGTTGTCCTTGGTAGAATGCGTTAGCATCATGGCTCACAGCAACTTCAAACTCTTGGGCTTAAGCGATCCTCTTGTCTCAGCCTTCCAAGTAGCTGGGATTACAGGTGCCTGCCACAACACACTGCTATTTTTAGAGACATGGTCTCACTCTTGCTCAAGCTGGTCTCAAACTCCTGAGTCAAGCAATCCACCTGCCTTGGTCTCCCAGAGGGCTAGGATTGCGGGCATGAGCCACTGAGCCCGGCCTTTTCA